CGAGGAATTGTGCGCCATCATTGGTGTCTGTGGAAGGAAAAATGCCCCATAGTTGGTGCCAGTGGAAGAAATGGTGCCTCCTTGTTGGTATCAGTGGGAGGAATAGTACCCCAAAGGCCGTATAGAGCCAGGCAAAGGGCCAGATTCGGCCCACTGGCCGCAGTTTGTAGACCACTGGTATAAATAATTAACACAATTATATCATTAAAATAGACTGAACAATGAACAAACAGGTTTGATAATAAAAAGTTATATATAGATCACAGAAACATACTACTAATGTTGCTGACTGTTCTTTATAACATACGCCAAAGATCCAAATTAAGAGCCCTTAAAAAAAATTGGTACCTGTAAAGAAAAAGAAAAGGAAGGAGAATAACATGATATACTTCATAGATTTATCTCAAAAAAAGATCCACATCTCATCTTAAGTTCATTCCGGCAGGGCTTCTATTACTTACGGTATAAATCCACCAAACCTCTTTTTCTAATAACCCTTTCCAACCCACAGAAAGTAAAGGACTGCATATCACCTGTGTGTGAATGACTGAAATGTTTAGAAACCTGCTTCTCCTGTTCGAAAAGCCAAACTTTCTCTGAGAAAGGAACAGCACAATCACTATACAACACAATAAAGAGGAAACTAAATTTATCCATGTAATAAGCAAAAATATACACTCTCCGGCCACTTTATTAGGTATATCTTGCTAGTGCCAAGAAAATATCCCCCACACCATTACACCATCACTACCAGCCTGAACCATTGACACAAGGCAGGATGGATCCATGCTTTCATGTTGTTTATGCCAAATTCTGACCCTACCAGCTGAATGTTGCAGTCTGCCCATTCTCCTCTGACCTCTGACATCAACAAGGCATTTTCGTTCACACAACTGCTGCTCACTGGATATTTTCTCTTTTTCAGACCATTCTCTGTAAACCCTAGAGATGGTTGAGCGTGAAAATCCCAGTAGATCAGCAGTTTTTTAAATACTCAGACCAGTCTGTCTGGCACCAACAACCATGCTGCATTCAAAGTCACTTAAATCCCCTTTCTTCTCCATTCTGATGCTTGGTTTGAACTTCAGCAAGTTGTCTTCACCACGTTTACATGCCTAAATGCATTGATTTGCTGCCATGTGATTGTCTGATTAGCAATTTGTGTTACCAAACCATTGAACAGGTGTACCTAATAAAGTGGCTGGTGAGTGTTCATGTAAGTATATATACATACATACACATATACACATAAGCATCATGTGTTAGCATCTGTCACTTACAAAACATCAGGTGCTAGGCCTAGCTTCATTGTCATTTTACTATGACTGTTAACTTTCTGAGATAAGAAAGTGGGACACCCAGGACAACAATGTACCAGTTACATTAATGTAGTATTAATATGCAAAAAACTCATTGGCATTGAAAAATATTTTTTTCACTATATTTCTGTTATATTGCCTTTTCAAAATAACAAACATTATATTGTCTGCTAATTAACAACAGTAGACCATTCAGTATGTAACATATATATTTTTTCCTGAATATTTTTATTCCATACCAATGTGTATACAAATGTAACACTGTAAATATTGTACATATTTTGTGGGGTTTCATAGGTGCTCATGCACATGGGCATAATGAAAATACTCATATTTATAATGGATGTTCCCGTCAAAAGCTGGTAGGAACATCCAACATAAAAAAACACATGTAATGGCATGTAAACAACTTGTGTTTTTGCATGTTTAGATGTCATATGTCCGTACAGCATCTAAAAGCCTATAATTCCTCATCCACTCCAATTCACTAGAATACATTTTCAAGATGGGTATTGTAAGTATTTTACATCTTTGAGCTTGTAAATGCATAAAAACGTATACAAGTGCATAGATGTAAAATACACAAAAATACTCCCTTCAAATACAGGATTTGGGGATTATTTATGCAACTGAACACTGCTTTAAATTATAGAGCTAAATGCCGTTATCTGCCTTGACATATCATAACAGAGCTGTATTCAAATTGGTGAAAGGAAAAAACTACCATACACATCTGAAAACTGTGCCTGATCCCTACTGAAATGTTGATGTATATGTTATGTTGTATGTGTATTATACTATGTATGTGTAATCATTAAGATAAGAGCATTGTATATGATTACTTTTCCCAGATTTAGATAATCAAGCCTTGTACTGCAAGGCAGGAAAGATGTGTTTCTAATACATTTTAGTAGTATATAGTTACTAATGAAATCTTAAACTATACATTTTTTTTTTTTTTGGCAGCCATTGAACTGGCACCCATAGTGTAGAATTACTATAAATGTTCGATCTGTTATATATTTTAAAATAATGCCATAGCTTGTATTTAGAAAAAAAGGTTTAATTGCATCTTTTAGTTTGAGACCAGACTGAATAATCATGAAATGTTTACAGGTTTAATCTGTAACACCCATTTTTCAAAACAAAGTGTCTCCAAAACTTCTGTTTGTGTATGACACCATTTCACACCTGTAGAAGACAGCACATTTCACACCTTATAATTCTATCACCAGACGTGTGAGGTCAGCTAAGGCAAACAAAAGTGGAAAGGGGCATGCATATCAATAGACATTATATAGTTCACACAGATTCTATGGCACAATTTTAGCATACTTCAAGGATTCACTTCTATTTTAGGCTCTGATTGATTTGTTATGGTTGCTTGCTTTCAGAGTTGATAGTCATTTCTAGCTGTGTTCACTAACAAGTTATTTATTATCAAGTGCTAATTCTTAAAGTGATTGTGAAGCTATATTTTTAATTAAAATGGTAAACATGTTATGGTTACCTGCACTGGGCAGTGCAGGAAGAGAGGAGAGCTGGGCTGCCAGTGGGGACAATGCTTGATGAAGAGTGGTGTCCTAGGTTTTTTTTTGGGGGGGGGGGGGGGGGGGACACGGACATTGGAAGGGTTTTTTTACATTAATGCAGAAAATGCCTTAAGTTAAAATATCTTTTGCCTTTAGAACTACTTTAAAGTAAGTAAAGCCCAAACCTTTTCTTTTTTAGTTTTACATAGCATAGGGAAAGTTAAAACCCCTATTGAATTAATTTTTGCTGGGGAGATTTCTCTTCACCTTCTGTCATGAAGGCAGAAGATGAGTGTAAATTTCTCCAATGTGAACAGAATTCCCATCTTAGGCCCCATACACACGATGAGAATATTGGACAAATGATCGTTCAGTGTCTGCAGCTGCAGGTGCTACTGTCAGAATATAATGTCCCAGTGGAGGGAGAGGGTCTTCAATCCACATCATTTCTGTGGACAGAAGAATATGTTAGTTGCACAGTGTATGGCCCTCTTAACTTTTCCCTTCTCGATCCAACACCAAAATAAAATTTCCTTTACAGATACTTCTGATTGGCTGGTTTTACCGCATTTCAGAAAGAGAACTGTTTACTGGCCATCTGTGTTAGTGGGTCCAGTATTTGTTCCTCTGGTAGTATATTTACCATAGGGCTCCATGTTGGTGTTTTTACACATGGAAAAATGTATCTGCCAGATTAATGGTTATTAGATAGCAATATCTATTCCTACACAAAAATTAATTACCAACTACTTTCACAAAATAGAATTAGCCCAACCTGATTTAATTTTGACTTGACATAAATTTCTAAAATTCTAATTGTACTAGTAATGTTGGCCAGCATCAAATTAGATTTTCTGTTTGAATTTTTTCGGATCAGGTAATAAAATAAATATATCTGGAAAAGATATAGCTGATCTATTGTCAGCGCTATCTCTGTACTGTACTTCTTTGGTAAAAGAAGATGGCCAAATACTGGATCTTTCCTGGAAATGGACAAAAACATTGGTAACAACAGAAAATATTAGGGGTGCTATTGATAAAATGGTCATGGTGTGTGTGTACTGTCAATACACGCTCATTCAGATTATCTTTGGCCTGTGCTACTCTTCTCATTCCATTTTCTTGTCACCTTCAGCACTTCTTGCCTGGCACTAGTAACATAGTTAAACATGCAACTATGCAGAAAGCACCCTGCAAAAAAGGAAAATAAGTTTTTCCATGACAGGAAAGGGAAGTTGCTATGACTGGCACAGTGGTCCTGCCTAATGTTGTCCCTGTACATGGTTGATCTGTTGGTCAAAAGCAACTTCCTTCTACCGCTATAGAGGGCCTTATTCAGCAACTCTGCTATGCATGCCGTCCAGAATGACAGGTTGATTGCAGAACAGAAAATGCAGGGGGTTGGCACTGCCTAGAGTTAAGATCCAAAGCTGTAGATGTCTCCTTACCACCGTAGCTAAAATAAAATGAAAATAAAATATAAGCAATATTATACTATAATATGATATGCAAATATATATAAAATAAGAATCTCCTAAAATGAGAATAATTAATTATTATCTAGTGGGAAAAATGATTCTGATACAAAGATGAGTGTGATAATAGTGTACAACATGGAATGTCACAAGCTGCTCTGCCCTCTCATTCATGACTTCCGTATTGTAAAACAGTTATTTGATCCAAATCTGGCCAATCATGACACAAAGGCAGAAACATAACAGGACATAATAATCCATTGAAAACCTCATTAAAATAAACAGCCAACTAATTAGTGGCACTTCAGTATGATTATGTGACATGATTGGAGAAACTGAACCTAGGTGTTACTAGAATAACAATAGGAGACCAGTAAATACAATACTTCACTCAATAGGTAGTGACTTTGCAAGGGATGTGTAGTGTGAAGAGCTACTGAAGATCAGGATCAACTACTATATAAATGTGAAGCTTTATCTAGGATTTAGTATACCTTTGGAGACTACTGAAGAGAACATCACCCTTAAGCTTGTTAAGGCAGCAGGAGCTGAGCAGGTATGGCTTGGCTATGTGCTGCAATCCTGAAATTCACACTGATCACACTTGTCTTGGGAATACCCAGCAGCACAGATAGACGGCAGGCCAGCAATGTTCTGCCAGCATCTAAAATGGGACATCATGAACATATTCATTCCAAGGGTCTGAAGATTCCTCTGTACATGATTCAGCTCTACAAGACTGTTATCATGAGCAATGACACTGAGTCATCCATGCTGGCACATCCAGTCCTCTGGGAATCCGATTCAGTACTAGGTCTTACTGCAAAACGTAAGTATTGTTACTTTATTTTATGCTAAATTCCAATGTCATATTCTACTTTTATTTATTTTCTAAAAACATTTATTTTTGCAGTTACATGCCATCTCCTATCTCACAGAGACCTCTCTTAAGTGGCTATGGAGCTATTGTGCCAACATTGCTTAGATAGTTTATTTGGACAAATTCCATCTGTTTAGATATAATGAAGCATTATAATGGCTAAACTAATAAGGCAGCTAAATAATTTGTGATGTGAATTACATAATACCCCGAATTACAATTAGTTTATTGAGGAAAAAAAGCTGGGCGTGGAATAAGTCAGAATGAGTGCCATTAAGTCTACATGATATTTACAGTACTCACTTTTACTTTAAGTTATTGCTATGGGTATCTTTTATTTGGTAGTTCTAGGACCAAGTTCTCCAAGTTCAATATTTCACTCTGCCCTGGAATTTAAACAAAGAGAAAAAAACAGTAGTAATGGTTGCTGAAGGGAACATACAAATTCCCAGACCTAAGTGGTGCATTGGAACCTTGAAACAAATCCTACTTGCCACTAATTTAATAGATGGGCAAAAGTCTGTTTTAACATTCAATTCCTTCTGGTGGCCAGGAAATGTTAAAAACAGTCACATTCTATGTGTGGTAGTTGTTTCCATTAAGAATAAATCCAAAATCAAAGAAAAAAATCTGCTATAGTTACCATGCACTTATGAAAAGTAGAATGTAGCAGCTTCTGTACAATAATAAGTCGTTTAATACAAATGGTAGAAGAAATATAAATTGATGATTGATCTTTTGAGCTTATAATTGCAACAGATAAGGTAACTTCAACTTCCTTCAAATTACGTAATTTGATACCACTTCATATCAGATTTTCTAGATGGGGCCACAAGGAAAGCCTACAATTGAGAAAAATATGTAGTGTCTATTTTACAATCAATTCTTCCTGAACAGGTTCTCCAACTAAATGAACCTCTCTATGTCTGTCCCTGCCACCACAGTCTGTTCTGATATGGAAACCTGGGATAGTCAATATGAAATTATTTATAGAGTTTCTTTTCTTGTCTCTACAGACTGCTCTGAAAAGGATAATATTTGGGAAATTTCATTTGACATGACATCAATTGAAGCGAACAATGAGCTGAAGCTGGCTGAACTAAGGATACTACCATCACCTTTTAAAGACTTCAGCAACGTGACACTTAACATTTACCATGGCACAGATGGTAGCAATAAGACCTTTGTTGGTTCATTACAGTCCACTTCAACTATAACTCCATATTCCACATGGAAAGCATATAACCTGACAAACATCATTTGGAACTACCTTTACCAACCTGAAACTGCCAGTAAAGCATCAAAAAAGGTCAAAGATCCATCAGGTGGTAGTATGAGCTATAAATGTAATGGAGTAGCAACTGAAAGGATCACGCTGGTGGTGTTTTCAAAGAACAGACAGTCTCTCAATCTCTATGGGTCTCCAAGCATCATGAAGGATGTTGAATCCTCGAAGTATGTCAAAGCAGAGATTGATACCATTAGGAAAACCAACAATAAAAGACACCGTAGAAGCTGGGATGCAGAAAAAAGCATCATTAGAGACAGTATTCCCTTCACACCTAAAGAAAATGAAAAACTCTGTAGGAAAGTGGACATGCTTTTGGATTTTGATGTACTTGGGTGGGGAGGGCAGATTGTCTACCCCAAAATATATATAATGCCTACAGATGTGAGGGATCCTGTCCTGTACCTCTGAATGAATTTTTTAAACCATCAAATCATGCCTACATGAAGGTAAGATCAACAGAGACTAATCATGCTACTTGTATTTTGTAATAACACAATGATGCTCATCTATTAAAACTAGACTTAGCTGTACAATGCTAGTGATTGAGTAGAAAATGAAAAGAAAAAACAGGATTTTGATATATTCTAATATTTTTTCCTTTTTGCAATCATTTTGGGATTCGAAGTACACAAATACATAGATTAAATTGTAAGTATACTTGATGAGAAGCTCTCATGACGTAGAGCAACTGGGTTAGATCTACTGAAAACATGTATGTAGACCATAAATCAGAGAACAGCTGGCTTCTGCTCTTTTATCGACTGCCTTCAGACTTTGGACTGCACGCGCATCATAATATTATATCATACTACCCAACATTTTAAAAAAAGTACATCAGGATAACTTTGAAATTCTTTTTGCATTGCCTGTACCTTTATGCTATCCTCCTCTAAAGGGACAATGTCAAGGCAAAGATATAGGAGCTGTCACTGTTAACCTGATATTTGAAGGTGTGTAGGGTACTGGGTGCTATCTTTTATCCTTTCTTCAATAATTAGTGAATCACTTGGAACAAACATGCAGCCAGTGAACTGTCAGGGTGCTTAATATGCACATGTTCTCTGGATCTTGGACTCCATAAATAGTGGTGAAAATGGATAAGGATGGCATTCTGAGAGCATGTGCCTTTAAAAACAAGTCATCAATAGCAGCTCCCATGGATGGAGGAAGACTTCAGCTAACAGAAGAGAAATCAGCACAAAAGACACATCCTACCAACTGTAAGTTATGTCCCTTGTGTTGGTTTTTATTTTTTGTTCATTTTGGCTGTGCTTAGGCTTTGAATAGTAACACTGGTCTGTAAGTGACATCTAAAACCGTCCATAGACTGTTTGAATATCAGTTGGTTCAGCAGGAACTGGATGCAATTCAAACCATTTATGGGCAGGCTGGATGTACCCAAGTTGATGGATCAATTAGCTTGGATACAACCAGCCTGCCAGAGCTTACATGGGATGATCATGCCAGTCTTCTGCCCCTCCCACCCTCCGGGAGAACACAATGGCTCTGCAGGAAGGATTCCCCTGTCAACACCTTCTATGGCTTGCCTTCTAGCCACAAGCAATAATAACTGTCTAAGGCTCCAACCCCCCCCCGCCCTTCCAGCCAGGAGAATAAAAGGTATAAATGTATAAATGAATAATCTTGCTCCCCTGTGCCCAGTAATGCTGATACTTCATGCAAAAAAAAAACAAAACTGTTTTTATCAGCTCACAAAAAATAAGTGTTACATTTATTATGCTTTCATGTCTATATTGGAGAGTCCACAATCCATTTTATCCTTAAACATATAAGATTTTTTTTTCTTATTATGATGTTTAACCACTTGCCCACCGGGCACTTATACTCCCTTTTTTACCAGGCCAATTTTCAGCTTTCAGCGCCGTTGCACTTTGACAATTGTGCGGTGATGCAAGATTGTACCCATATGAAAGTTTTATCATTTTTTTCTCACAAATAGAACTTTCTTTTGGTGGTATTTAATCGCCGCTGGGCGCTTTATTTTTTGCGCTATAGACAAAAAAAGTGCAAAAAATTTGAAAAAAAAAAGTTTCTTTTTTTTTTATAACATTTTTCAAACAGGTAATTTTTCTCCTTCACTGATGTGCGTTGATGAGGCAGCACTGATGGGCACTGATAGGCAGCACTGAAGGGCACTGATAGGCAGCACTAATGAGGTGGCACGGATAGGCGGCACTGATAGGCAGCACTAATGTGGGGTCACGGTTAGGTGGCACTGATGATGGGTACTGATAGACAGCACTGATAGGTGGCAGTGACTGGCATCACTGCTGGGCACTGACTGGTGGCACTGCTAGGCATTGCCTGGCACAACTACTGGGCACTGACTGGCACAACCTGCCTGGCAGCACTGATGGGTGGCACTGGTGGGCACAGGTAGGTGGCACTGCTGGGCACTGGTGTGTGGCACTTCTGGGTGGTACTGGTGGGCACAGGTGGGTGCACTGCTGGACACAGGTGGGTGGCACTGCTGGGCACTGATCATCAGTGCCCTAATGATGGGTGCCGATCCCTGCTCTGACAAGTGCCGGTTCTCAGCAGTACTTTCATCATGCTCTGACAGTGTGAGGAAAGTGCAGCCGAGAACCGGCAATTGCATTTACCGGTGATCAGCGTGTCATTGGACACGGCTACTCACATGGTAAAAGGCCACTGTGATTGGCCTTTTACCACATCATGTGATCAGTTGTGTCCGTAGGACACAGCGATCACGGAGATCACCGGGGGCGCGCCACCCGGGGACGTGCAGGAGAGCGTGTTCTGGGAGGACATCATATGACACCCTCCCAGAACTGGCCGGCCGCAGTGTAGCCGTCATTCAGCTATCTGCGGTTGGCAAGTAGTTAATAATGCACAAGGGCACTTACCAGATAATGAGATTTCAGCTTTCAGCAGCCCAGTACATTACATTATTACATTACATTGAGTTTATATAGCGCCAAAGGGTTTGCTCAGCGCTGTACAATAGAGGGGGGGACAATACATGAAACATTACAGCAGCTACGAACAGCACACGAGGGGTAAGAGGGCCCTACTCTTTCGAGCGTACAATCTGGGAGGGAGGGACTAATAGTACTAATAAGAGGTTATTTCTGATGGGCAGCCAAGACTTTTTAAATCATAAATTTTGCACTATTTCAACTAAAATGTCTGACAAATACATTAGTTAACATTCTATTTTATATTTTTACAGAGTCTGGTGATATTTAACGATCCTGATAAAGTGGAATGCATGCTGTGTGCACCTGTAAAAATGAAGCCATTGTCCATGTTAATGTACGAAGGAGAGAAGATTGTCCTCAAACATCATGAAAACATGATTGTGGAAGGCTGTGGGTGTACATAACAAGACATGAATTCATGAATATACAATCTACATTCTTTTATATATATACTTTAATATATAGCTATAGATTTATTCTATATAGTTTCTAGCCTGTCAGTTCACACAAAACTGATATTTTAGTATAGGACAGATGCTTGCAGGAGTTTTTCCTAATTATTATTATACAGGATTTATATAGCGCTGACTGTTTGCTCAGCGCTTTACATTATGGTACCAGACAATACGATTCAATACACGAGGGGTTCGAGGGCCCTGCTCCTTGGAGCTTACAATCTAGGAGGGAGGGGATAGTGGTACAGGAAGAAATAGCTGTGAGGGATGGAGAGGTAGGAAGGGTGGAGGAGTTCAGTAATTAGCTGATGGCAGGGTAGGCTTCCCTGAAGAGATAGGTTTTCAGAGTGCGCCTAAAGGTGAGCAGAGTAGGTAATAGTCTGATGGATTGGGGTAGGGAGTTCCAGAGGATGGGAGAAGTCCTGGAGACGAGCATGGGGGGAGGAGGAGACCAGGGAGCTAGAGAGTAGGAGGTCTTGTGAGGAGCGGAGAGTGCATTTTGGGTGGTATTTGGAGACAAGATCTGTGATGTAGTTTGGGGGGCAGTATTATGAACAGCTTTTATACATCAGTGTTTTGAATTTTATCCGTTGGGCAATCGGAAGTCAGTGGAGGGATTGGCAGAGGGGGGTGGGCGGATACGGAGCGGTTAGTAAGGTGGATGAGTCTGGCCGCAGTATTCAGGATAGACTGAAGCGGGGATAGCCTGCGGTGAGGTAAGACGGTGAGGAGGGAGTTACAGTAGTCAAGTTGTGAGGGAGTGAATGACTTGCTTAGTAGTTTCCGGGTATAGGAACGGTCGTATTTTGGAGATGTTACGGAGGTGAAGTCTACATGAGTTTGTCAGCGATTGGACCTGGGGCTGGAAGGAGATTGGAGTCTAGGATGACACCTAGTACTCTGGCTTGAGGGGTGGGACTGATGGTAGTGTTGTTGGGGCGGGATGGGGGGAAAACTAGGAGCTCAGGTTTGGAAAGATTTAGTTTGAGGAAGTGGAGTGACATCCAATCCGATATGTCGCTCAGTAGGCTTGTGATACGGGTGGAGAGACTGAGGGGGTGAGGTGAGGGGTAGAGAGATAGATTTGCGTGTCGTCGGCATAGAGATGGTAATTGAAGCCATGATAATGTATCAATTGGCCAAGGGAGGAGGTGTAGATGGAGAAGAGAAGGGGCCTGAGGACAGAACTTTGAGGGATCCCAACCGAGAGGGGGAGTGAAGAGGAGGTGGCAGCGTTACAGGTAACACTGAAGGAGCGCTGTGATAGATAGGAAGAAAGCCAGGAGAGAGCGGAGTCTCTGAGGCTAAGAGAGTGTAGTTTTTTGAGCAGGAGGGGGTGTGGTCAACCGTGTCGAAAGCCGCAGAGAGGTTGAGGAGTAAGAGTACTGAATAGTGGCCATTAGTTTTGGCGGTTAGCAGGTTGTTGGTGAGTTTGAGTAGGGCAGTTTCGATGGAGTGTAGGGGGCGGAAGCTAGACTGTAGGGGATCAAGGAGGTTGTTGTCAGTGAGGTGGGAACTCAGGCGATTATAGACTAAGTGCTCTAGGAGTTTGGATGCAAATGGCAGCAGGGAGATGGGTCTTAGGTTGTTCAGGTCGATGGGATCAAGGGAGGGTTTTTTAAGTATGGCTAATGGCTTCCACTCTGGGGGCTTTGGCTGTGACATTGCTGTAGAAGAAAAACAAAGAGCCTCCAAGATCTGTAGGAAGATGGGTCATTTAACATGGTGGCATCTGCTTTAGACTAGGTGTCAGTTTTGGGTGGACTGTTCCCTTACAAATCCTAAGTTGCACTTTATGTACCGTTTCCCCTAAAATAAGACCTACCCTGAAAATTAGACCTAGTGCTATTTTTGGGAATTGTTAAAGTATAATACCTACCCCGAAAATAAGACCTAGTTGTGATCAGGGCTTTTATTTAGCTGGAACACGGTGGAACGCCACTTCGCCACCTCCGGCACTGGCCCTGTGCACACCCATACCTACTGTCTCTTATAAACACAGAAGCGCGGCTGAAGTGACAGCACCAT